GTTGTTGCATAGCCTTCGTTGTGCCCCATGATCTATCGCACACATCTTTGTGCAGATCTCTGTCTGCGCTCCCCGCCGCAGTCAAGAGTGGATAATTGTGGTTCGACCTTGCCTCGTGACTGGCCCAATTTATTACAGCTTTGACTGCGAAATGAGAGCAGGTACAGGCCGGTAATCACACTCTCCTTGGAGTACTGAACGGCTGTGATAATCGTATCCCATTGATAGTCAGCAGAAGAATACTTAGAACGCAGTGCGGATCAAGAATCTGCAATAAATTTACATACAGTAACTCGACCATCTTTCAAAGCCAGCAACAGCCTCTGGATGAATATATAAGGAGCTTGAAATGAACTGACAATGGATGAATAATGGATGAATGGGACTCTGATTGATATACTGGGAAAAGATCGAGGGAAGGGAAACAGAGAGTGAGTGCTTCCTACCTAGGTGCGTTCCAAAAAAGGCAACGCTCCAGGCAGTGTGAACTTCAACTTTTGGGGTTGAATATTGAACGTTAGTCTACCGTGACTGAATGCGCCATGTAACCTTCTGGGCTGGGAAGAAAGAAGGAAAAAAAGTGCCGATGAAAGGGAAAACCAAATTGCCGCACGTTTGCCTCCGAGGAGAATGAAAGATACTTCTTAGAAAGCTCGTAATGACGAAAAAATGAACCAAAGCATGTGTGATTTTTATTTATTAAAATAAGTAAATGAAAACTGATTAATTTTGTTTTAAAAAATAGAGGACACGTCGCGCAATCATATTGGATCCTTCACTGGCCACCAACAGTGCCTTCGGCGTCACAATCCCATACCAATGCCGAACACCGACAGACCCCACGTCTCGCTCCGCATCCCCCGAAGAAGCGAGGCGTGTACCACACACAAACGGCGCCAACGCAGCACGTTACATACAGCACGCGCCCAGTCCAGAGAGAACAGACCCCGCAGGCCTCCCGCGCAGCGGAGGAGCCACCGTGCGCACCCTGCAAGCGCGCGCAACCCAAAGCGACCACCGCCGACGCCGAGGATTCATTAGCCCCGGCGCCGCAGCACACACTCTCGCCCACTACCGTGCCGCGACGAACGCGCAATCCCAAACGCGTAACCCCAAATGAACGCCGACGCAGTCCATCATCGTCCATCGGACAGGCAGCCTCCAAAGCCACAAGCCGCCGTGCTCAAGAAGGAGAAGCCGCTGTCCTAAAAAAGCAACCCCCCTCCCCCACACACACAAAAAAACAGCGAATCGAAAGAACCCCCCAAAAAAACGACAGACGAAAGAACGAAAGATGATGATGATGATGACGAGAGACTTACTTGAACACGTTCACGCCGGCCTTCGATGCGCATGCGCGCGCGAAACCACCTTGCTCTTAAACGCAATCTTGTTCGTGCTCAGCGCATTCACCGGACTCAAGCCCAGCCCGCTCCGATCCGTAAACCGCCCAATCCTCAGCGCGGGCTCGCCCGCGCGCAGGTCACGCGCAATGGGGTCGAAGCGTAGGCTCCTGCGCGAGTCGAGGTGCGGGACGAGGCGCAGGCGGTGCGTTGGTGCTGCTGCGTTAGCGTTATTATTCGCGGTCGCAGCGGGGGCAACGGGCGGAGGGACGGCGGCTGATGTTGTGGAAGGGGGCAGCGGCATGGGTGCGGGGACGCCTGGTGTCAGCGCTGAGCCGGCTGTGCCGACGAGTGCGCCGGCGCTACGCCTTCTTCGGAGCATCCCGCTCAGGCCGGCGCCGCTCATGCCCATGCCGATTGCGCTCACCGGCTGCTGCGCCCGCCCGGCGGCGGGCACCGGCGTTGGCATTATGTGCATTGGGGGCGTTGGGGGATTGGAGGCCGGGCTAGGGTGGCATTGCGCCGGGCGGGGAGGGCGACAGGTCCCGGATGGCGATGCCGATGGCGTTGTTGGCGGAGATGTCGATGTGGCCTTGCGAGCTGTTGCGTGGACGGCCGCGGCCGAGGAAGGAGCCGAGAATCGTCGTCGTCGTCGAGCGCTGTGGGTGCAGCTGCGCATATATCCGCAGACTGCAACCGAACACAGTTGAAAGCAAGAGCAACAGTAATAAATTCACTGGGAATCTATCGGTTCAACTATATGAACACATAAATATACCGAATCTAAACCAAACGGAAAAAAAAAATGTCTGACTCACAAAATGCCCCAGGGAGGATTCGAACCTCCGTCTCCCACATCAGTCCGCATCGCAACTTCGCTTAATGGGTGTGGGTGATTTGCCATTAATCAACCAGGGCTTTATACTCTTCCGACAAACCTGGATATACCAGTGACACATTTTTTCAAAACCCGAAAAGAAAAGTTTGACATAAATCCAATTGACACAGCGCAGGTTGCTACAACAGTCCGCCTGCTGAGGTTCGTTGAAATCACCGAAATTCAAGGACTCTCCAAGTCCATACAATATACAGACACATACATGCAGCACCAGTATCTTGTGCGAATCCGATTTATCAAATTGTGGGGGAAAAAATCTTTTGACTTATAAATGCCCTGGGAGGATTCGAACCTCCATCTCCTACATCAAGCTCCTCGACATTCAGTTCCAAAGAGGTGTGGGTGATTTCCATTAATCAACCAGGGCTTCATACCCTTTCAACCTGTATACACTGGCACCTGTTTTTTAACTGCCAGAAGGCTGTTTCACTGCATGAATTCCCGAAAAATTCAACGGTACCGGTGCTGGCCTCTTCAGATGAAAGCAGTACTGTATCTCGAACCTACATCAAACAAAAAAAAAAAAAATCTACTCATCTTGATATGCTCTGGGGAGGATTCGAACCTCCGTCTCTCGCATCAATCCACTGGGACAAACCATCTCAAGGGGTGTGGGTGATTTACCATTAATTAACCTGGGCTTTATACCCTTCCAAGGAACCTGGACAGACCTGCACATTCTTCCCCAGAGCCCGCAGGACATTTGCAAAATTCGGGGAGCGCAAGACTTCTTTGCAGAGTATAAAAATATTTGAACACCGCAAGGATCTGACTGTCTTGAATCCCAACCTTTTTTGGGGGGTTTTCAAGGGGTGGCGGGGTAAAAAGTGTTGGATATCAACTACCAAAAACCTCCTGTCAGGACCCTGGAACACACTCGACCACCACTAGCAGTCGGCAATCATTTGGAACAGTGGGCCGTACCTCCGAGCTAATCACACCACCAAATGCAAGATTTCAGGAGCCCTGTAAATGCAACCTAATTTTGTAATTTCAGAAACAACATTAAGTATGTCCTAAAATGTACCTTAAATAATTTTTTCAGGATGTCTAAAATTGAAGCCGAATACACTAGATTAAGTTACAACTTCAGGAGGTCTGAATCTTTGAATTTAATTAGCAATTTCTCAATGAGTGAATTTGTACCTTAAATTATGAATTTCAGTTGCAGATTCAACAGGGGTGAAACTAGTAATTTGGGGGTGTTCTGAAAACAATATTTTCGGGCAGCATTTAAGTCCACCTGAAACAATAAGATTAAGGCACAATTTCGGCCGAACAATAAGATTCAGGCACAGTTTCGGCCTTCACCGGCCGAAACTGTGCATTAATCTTATCGTTTCGGGCGGACTGGAATGCCGCCTGAAATGATTATTTTCAGGCTCTCATAAATTATCAATTTTACCTGTGCTGAATTTTGCAACTGAAATTTATAATTTAATGTACAAATTCAGTCATTGAGAAATTGTTACTTAAATTCAAAGATTCATACATCCTGAAAAAAAAAAAAATAAGGTATATTTTAGGGTGTACTTAATGTTGTTTCTGAAATTACAAAATTAGGTTACATTTACAGAGCTCCTGAAATCTTGCATTTGGCGGTGTGAATAGCGAAGGGGATCAGATCAAGCATCAATGAAGCATCAAACACTCTTACACCAAGTCTCGTTTGCCACTTGTTTGTGCCCCCAAGAGCCAGTACATAGCGACAGTCTGCTCATAAATTCATAAGTTGGTTCTCTCATTGTTCTACTCTCTGAAATGAAGTTTTCCCGGTTTTAACCGTGCCAAGCAAGCACTTTTCTGAACAGGCACATCGATATCCTGAAGTATGCATGCGTACTAGCAGCAGTCATTAATAAGTATCTCGAATCTAAATCAACCCAGTCGCAAAAAAAGCAAAAAAACAAACAAACACACACAACAATTCAGACTCCCACACTATTGTGCTTCGAAGGATTCCTAAGGGGTGTGGGTGATTTGCCATTAATCAACCGGGGCTTGAGACCATTCCAAGGAGCCTGTATACACCGGCACTTGGTTTTCAACTGCCAGAAGGCTGTTTCACTGCATGAGTTCCAGAAAATTCAACGGTATCGGTGTCACTACAGATTAAAGCAGTACTGTATCTCGAACCTACATCAAACAAAAATAAAATAAAATCTATTGATTCTGATATGCCCTGGGGAGGATTCGAACCTCCGTTCCCCACATCAATCCGCTTGCGCGACCAGCAAGGCGTGTGGGTGATTTCCATTAATCAACCAGGGCTCCTCCAAGAAACTAGGATACACCTGCACATTTCCATCCTCATGAATTCCTTCAAATCAACGGTACCATCGCCTGAACGCAGCAGTCCAGCGTGGATCTGCCCATATAACTCAAATCTACACCAAACCAAAAATAAATAAATAGTCGACTGAGCTTTGATATGCCCAGGGGAGGATTCGAACCTCCGTCTCCCACATTAATAATGCTCAACTAACACCCCGCATGGTCTGTGGGTGATTTCCGTTAATCAACCAGGGCTTTATACCCCTCAAATGGATATACCTGCACATTTTTGGGGCATTCGAAAGACGGGATTTACATTCGCAGAATGGAAGCGAGCAGGTTGCTACTGCATCGCATCGTCAAAGGGCTTTCTGAACGGGACGAACTTCAGCAAGCATTTCATCCGCCCAAAAGCATAATGCAGATAAAACATAGATGCAGTAGAATCAATCAAGCTTGGTAAAAAGGGAGATTGCATCGACACATGCCCTTGGAAGGATTTGAACCTCCGTCGCCCACATCAATTCACTCCAGCAAGCATCCAGGGGGTGTGGGTGATTTACCATTAATCAACCAGGGCTTTATACCATTCCAACAAAACCTGTACATGCTTCGAGCTTCAAGGCTGTAAGTCGGCAGAATACTGATTTTCTCAACAAGGTTGAGTCCGCTGCCCAGTAAGGTTTTTTGAAGCGATGAAGAAATGCAAGGACTATCCAAGTACATACAATATACAGACAGATACACGCAGCAGCAGTATCTCGAATGCGAATTAAATCAAGCTGTGAAAAAAAGAATCATTCAACTCGCTATGCCCCGGGGAGGATTCGAACCTCCGTCTCCCACATCAATCGGCTCAGCTTATTCGCTCAAGGGGTGTGGGTGATTTCCATTAATCAACCAGGGCTTTATACCCTTTCAAATGGAACTAGATATACCAGCACATGTTTTCAAGGTTACCTGCTTTTACATCCGCAGACTGCAACCGAAAACAAGAGCGACAATAAATTCACTGGGAATCTATCGGTTCAAGTATATGAGCACATATATATCTGAATCTAAACCAAACGGAAAAAAATTGTCCGACTCATATGCCCTAGGGAGGATTCGAACATTCAATTCAATTCAATATTCCATTAGAGTGCGCGCGGGCCCCTGGGGGCCCATGTAGCACTATGCGTATTTACAGTGTAATTTACTAGCGGCCAAGAGGGAGGAGGCGTGGGAGGGACGTCGTAGTAAGGTAGATCTAGAGTGGTATGTTGGAGGGAGCTGTGAATGTAGAGTGAGAATTTTGGAGTCTGAGCGGGATGTAAAGACTGGTGCGAGATGTTGCATATGTAAGAGAGAGGAAGAGTGAAGGAGGAAGGAAAGAGAAGGAGAAAGAAAGCGGGAGGAAGGGAAATGCGCAAGCCTAGAGGTAGTAGGGGAACCGCCCGGTGTCGCGCACGAAGCTCAAGACCGGACCGGGCTCGGATCTCACGGTCTTGAGCTTCGTGCGCGACACCGGGCGGTTCAGGATTCGAACATCAAGCTCCGCGACGTTTAGTTTCAAAGAGGTGTGGGTGATTTGCCATTAATCAACCAAGGCTTTATACCATTCCAAGGAGCCTGGATAAACCTGCACATTTTCAAAGCCCGAAATGAACTTTAAAATGTCCGCCTGTTCAGTAAGGTTCACTCAAAGCAATAATGAAATTCAACAAGATTGTAATCTGCCCCAAAGTGCATAATACATAGACCGGTGACCGGTCTCTTGTATGAAGAAGAGTCGTTCATAGAGAGACTGGTCGATCTGAGTTTGAATTTGCTTGGCGAGCGATCAGATCACGTTTCTGGCACATGCAGGGCCTGTGGGCAATTCTTGGAAGGGCAGGACAGCATCGGGGCGATAAATAACCTTTGGAATGGGTTCCTAAACCCTTAGAATGTATACTGGACACATTCATATTTTTTCGCGCCATTATACGACTCTGAGAGTTATTTCCATGAGATTTCACTCATTTATGCCATGACTTGAGTTTGCTCCTCCCACAAGTTCAATATTTGAAATCAGCAAGCATATTCTTACCATATAACACTTCTCACCATTCAGAATAATATTTATGGGACCCAATGCCCTTGTTCTAAATTATTTGCTGCCATCAGGTGCCGAAAACGTGATCTGATCACTTGCCAACCGGTCTTTCTATGAATGAATTGTCTTCATACGAGAGACACAGTTACCGGTCTAAATAATACAGATGTGCAGCAGTTTCTTTGAATCTCAATCATTTTGTAAAAACCAAAAAAGGATTGAACAATTACATAGAATGCCCTGAGGAGGACTCGAACCTCCGTCTCCCACATCAATCCTCTATGGGAATGACCACTAAAGATGGTGTGTGATTTCCATTAATCAATCAGGGCTTTATACCCTTCCAACGAACCTGGATATACCTGCGCCAGTGGAGGCGAATTTACGGATGCTTTCAATGTCCACCTGCTCAGAAAGCAGTGCTGGTTGAAGGTAAGAATAATCAACATTCAAGTCGGCTCACAGATACATGCAGCACTAGCAGTATCTTGAACCCGATTCAAACAAAGAAAAACAATGCCAGAAGCTCACGACGGATGCCCTGAGGAGGATTCGAACCTCCGTCTACAACATCAATCCGTCCTAACTCATTCACTTAAGGGGTGTGGGTGACTTACCATTAATCAACCAGGGCTTTATACCCTTCCAACGAACCTCGATATATGTGGCTGCACAATTTTAAAAAGTCTCTTTATAAGAACCGAAATTCAAGGGACTGTCCAAATGCATAATACAGACAGGCCGACAGGTGTCAATGCACTGGTATCTCAAATGCGAATTAAATCAAACTGTGAAAAAAAAAAATGACTTGGGTACATATGCCCTGGAGAGAATTCGAACCTCCATCTCCTACACAAGACCTATTTCTTCGACGTTCTAAGGAAGGTAGGTGATTTCCATTAGTCGACTAGGGCTTTACACCATTCCAACGAACCTGTATATATATACCTGCACATTCTTTAAGGGGGTCTGCACCACACGGTGGAATTAATCCTGAATTTTGCTAAACAGTCCACTTGATCAACGAACATGTTGAGATGGGTGAGCGTCCGGAACAGAGGGCGACTGGGATCGATTGCGTCAAGAGTGGAAATATTGATGAACGACAAGTGCTGCACTGCCAGCGGTATATCTTCGAGGGCAGTGAACATCAATGGATCTGCACCGTACAATCCGAGCCTTTCGACATGGCCACAAAGTGGAAGAACGGGTAAGAGATCGCTATGGGAATTCCATGCCAGTAGGTTCTGGACATGTTTCCATTTGGCGGGCTGTAGATGAAGAAGATTGGCGGGATCCAGCCGCCGGGCAGCGATTCTACCCAGAACGAGAGTGGTTCGGCCCACAACTTGAAGAGTACGGTACAAAAGAGGCTCGATTCTGGATGCAGAATATAAACTATGAGATTCTTTGCTAATAAAATAATGCCATACCACTGAAGGACGCGGTGAGCAACTAGCAGGAGAGTGGGCCTCGTTTCGGGGTGATGGGTCGCCGCAATCTCGAATATTTCCCGCTCGAGCTCCAGCGGGAACGATGGACATGTGTGAGACATGGCCAAGGGTTGGGAGGTCAAAGGGAAATTTAGCCCTGAAATAGCCTGAGTGGGAGTCGGCTGTGAGCGGAGACGACAAAAGGGGTGAGTCTTGGGTGAGTCAGCAGCTGATGGCATCATTCTTTTTTTTCTCCATACTACCACCAGACTCTTGTACTTCTCGAACCAGCAGGGATACATGGGACCACTCTGATATTTCTCTGTCGCTCCCTTTCGAAATGGCTGCAAACCGTTATCCAGAAATAATGATGCCCAGGGCCCGGCCCGGCCTGAAAGCCCCGGCTTGGGCCCGGCCTGAGCGGGCTTGGGCTTAGGATTTTGCAGGCCCGAGCCCAAGCCCTGGGCTCGGGCCTCAAGCCCCAGGCCCCGGGCTCAGGCCCGGGCTTTGGGCAATTTTTTTTGTGGGACTTGATGTGTTGAGCAGTGACCGATTAGAAGCTATGTTGCAACTAAGTGGTAGTAAATCTTTTGCAACCAGCAATATTCTTTTTCAAGACCAAAGAGAATGATTAATGCTCACAACTGGGACTGGTCGGGTATGAAGTTGGTATGAAGTTGAAGTTGAATGGGGCAAACATTTTAATTTTAGCTGCAGTAAAGTTAGCAGCCAAAAAAATGGGACTAAAGTGACGAAGGATTAAAATTTTAGTAAAAAAAGAAAGGCTAGAAAAAGGATTTCGATAAGGATCGAACTTGGGACGTGCCAAAATGATCGTAGTAAAAAGGTACCACCATAACCACTCAGCAACATGAACCATACAAGTACAATTGATGGAGGGGATCAATATGTGCGCAGGAGTTGGAATAACTTTTACAACTTTGAGTTGATTTTGAACCAAGAATATAGTTGGTACATAGGCCCGGGCTTCAGGGCCCGGCCTGGGCCTGGAAATCTGAAGCCCGAGCCCTGGGCCCGCTCAGGCCCTGCTTAGGGCCCGGCCGGGCTCGGGCTTACTAGGGCCCGGCTTGGAGGGCCTGAGGGCCTCAGGCCGGGCCCTGGGCATCACTATCCAGAAACGATCCCCGCGCTCCTTCTAGTTGCGCAGCGCGTCCTTCAATGGTAGTGCATTATCTCGACATTGACAAACGACCTCTTCTAATCCCTTACTCAGGATCGAGCCTATATTCCACCGCACCCTTTCTGTCCGGGATCCGCCAAATTGGCAAAATATGTGCAGAACATGCTCATATGGGCTGCTCCCCGTCGTGTCGATTTCGCGCTGCGCGTTCTTTCTTCTTGCAGTGGCATCCGGAAGCTCATGTTATTCGGGCCCCATCTCACAATGCTCCCTGCACTCGAGAAGATGAAACTATGGCAGTTGACCGTCGACCTTTTGGTATTACGGCGATCGATTCAGCCCGTCCCCTCTTCCGCGCACTCACTCATCTTCGCCTCCTCAATCGCCCTCCAGAACTAAATTTCGGCGAACTCCCTGCCCTAACACATCTCTGTCTACCCGATTACTATAGCCTGGGCCTCATCTCTTCCACCCTGGCAAATTGCAGCAGACTCTGCGTGCTGGTCATCATGTTCTGGGGTCGGCCTGGAGTGCACAGGTACTCAAAATTGGACTTGCCAATGGAGGACCTGCGTTTTGTTCTGATGTCGAATTCCTTCGAGGAGTGCATGGAGGATTGGAAGCTCGGTGCGAAGGGGGGAAGGGACTTTTGGCTCCATGCAGAGAACTTCGTTGCGAGAAGGAGACGCGGCGAAATCGAACCTGGCATGTCCTGCCGCACCCGCCGAAACAGCCCGCTTACTGTCCTTGCCTCCCTTTCAGCCTGGCGGTGCTGGACTGAAGACTCTGACTTGATCAACTGAGCTTTGTACTTTGGGAAACCCGCCCACGAAAACACTTTCGCCTTCGCTGTGCCCCACGATCTACCGCACACATCTTTGTGCGGAACTCTGTCCGCGCTCCCCGACGCAGTCAAAAGTGGATAATTGTGGTTCGACCTCGCCTCGTGACTGGCCTAATTTCCTACAGCTTTGACTACCAAATGAGAGCAGGTACAGGCCGGTATTACACTCTCCTTGGACTATTGTACGGCTGTGACAATCACATCCCATTGAGAGGCAACAGGAGTGCAGCGTGCTTTAAGACTCTGCAATAAATATACATACAGTAACTCGACTATCTTTCAAAGTCAACAACAACTTCTGGATGAATATATAAGGAGCCTGAAATGAACTGACAATGGATTGTTAGTGGATGAATGGAACTCAGATTGATATACTGGGAAAAGATCGAGGGAAGGGAAACAGTGCTTCCCACCTAGGTGCGTTCCAAAAAAGGCAACGCTCCAGGCAGTGTGAATTTCAGCTTTTGGGGTTGAATATTAAACGGGAGAGATAATTAATTACTCACTACCGTCTGGGTCGTCCTCGGACGATACAGGCTCGGACTCTACCGTGACTGAATGCGCCATGTAAACTTCTGGGCTGGGAAGAATGAAAGAAAAAGTGCCGGTGAAGGGAAAACCAAATTGCCGCACGTTTGCCTCCGAGGAGAATGAGAGATACTACTTACAGAGATCGTAATGAGGAAAAAAGGAGCCAATGCATGAGTGATTTTTTATTATTAAAATAAGTAAATGAAAACTGATTAATTTTGTTTTAAAAAATAGAGGACACGCCGCGCAATCATGTTGGATCCTCCACTGGCCACCGACAGCGTACCAATGCCGAACACCGAACACCGACAGACCCCCACGTCTCGCTCCGCATCCCCCGAAGGAGCGAGGCGTGCACCACACACAAATGGCGCCAACGCAGCACGGTACATAAAGGACGCGCTCAACCCAGCCAGAACAGACCCTGCAGGCCTCGAGCGCAGCGGAGGAGCCACCGTGCGCACCCTGCAAGCGCGCGCAACCCCCAAAGCGACCACCGCCGACGCCGAGGGTTTACACTAAGTGGACAAAATGATTGACTGATGCGTTTTCGGTCATTTCTCACCCAAATCACTCCAAATAAATTGTGAGAATGAAGTTCTGTCGATTTCATGATGATTTGCACAGTTTAAACCATACCTTTCCTGCTGTATTCTCCGTAAATAAAAAGTTTACCCATTTTCTGAAAAATCGAGTCTGTGGAATCACCTTGTATGATAGAATGGATTACACACCCTGAAAGTACTTGAAAAATGGACCTCATACATCTTTTGGTTGACCCAGATTCATGGGGCTTTGGGCTTGCAATACCCAATGCAAGTTGGCCATTTTGAGCATTTTTTATGCAAAATGACCACAAAATGCCAAAAATGGACAACTTGCTTGCTTTGCTGTGAGCTCAAGACCCCATAGATGCAGGTCAAATAAAATATGTGTGAGGTCCATTTTTCAAGTACTTTCAGGGTGTGTACACCGTTTTACCATACAAGATGATTCCACAAACTCAATTTTTCAGAAAACAGGTAAACTTTTTATCTAAGGAGAATACAGCAGGAAAGGTATGGTTTAAACTGTGCACGTAGTCATGAAATCAACAGAACTTCATTCTCACAATTTATCTGGAGTGATTTGGATAAGAAATGACCAAAAACGCATCGGTCAATCATTTTGTCCACTTAGTGTATAAGCCCCAGCGCTACCGCGCCGCGACGAATCGACGGCCACCGCAACCCAACGCGTAACCCCAAAGCCACAAGCCGCCGTGCTCAAGAAGGAGAAGCCGCTGTCCTAAAAAAGGCAAACCCCCCCCCAAAAAAAAAAAAAAAAACAGCGAATCGAAAGAACCCCAAAAAGGACAGACGAAGGAACGAGAGATGATGATAAGAAAAAACAGACGAAGACACTTACTTGAACGCGTTCACGCCTGCCTGCCACTCGCGGCCGAGCTCGATGCGAATCTCGACGCTCTTGTAGATGTCCTCCGCGCCGCCCTGGTAGTCGACGCCGAGCTGTTGGGGGGTTAGTTTGCGTGTTCATAGAAAATAGACAAGGCCAAAAAAACGCACCTGCAGAATATCTCCGTCCTTGATCTGGTGCGGGCGCGACTCGGTGTTGGCGGGCGAGAGGCGGACGTGGTTAAGGAACGTCCCTGAGCTGCTCTTCGTGTCCCGTATATAAAACTTGACCCCACCACCGCCACTTGCACCCTCGACCCACACCTCCGCATGCGCGCGCGAAACCACCTTGCTCTTAAATGCAATCTTGTTCGTGCTCAGCGCATTCACCGCACTCAAGCCTAAACCGCTCCGATCCGTAAACCGCCCAATGCGCAACGCCGGCTCGCCCGCGCGCAGGTCGCGCGCGATGGGGTCGAAGCGCAGGCTCCTGCGCGAGTCGAGGTGCGGGACAAGGCGCAGGCGGTGCGTTGGCGCTGCTGTGTTAGCGGTATTATTCGGGGTCGCGGCGGGGGCAACGGGCGGGGGTACGGCAGTCGATGTTGTGGAAGGGGGCAGCGGCATGGGTGCGGGGACGCCTGGTGTGGGCGCTGAGCCGGCTGTGCCGACGAGTGCGCCGGCGCTACGTCTTCTTCGGAGCATCCCGCTCAGGCCGGCGCCGCTCATGCCCATCCCGATTGCGCTCACCGGCTGCTGCGCCCGGCGGCGGGCACTCCCGCCGGCGCTGGCATTATGTGCATTGGGGGCGTTGGGGGATTGGAGGCCGGGCGAGGGCGGCATTGCACCGGGCGGGGAGGGCGACAGGTCCCGGATGGCGACGCCGATGGCGTTGTTGGCGTTGGCGGGGATGTCGATGTGGCCTTGAGAGCTGTTGCGCGGGCGGCCGCGGCCGAGGAAGGAGCCGAGAATGGTCGTAGTCGTCGAGCGCTGTGGGTGCAGCTGCGCGGGCGGGTCAACGTTACGAGTCCTAAACTTGTTTAGGTATCGTTATTTGTAATCTTTCACCGCCTTTTCCAATGTACCCCCGCTTCCGACACATCCGACTAACTTAGCCTTTCTGTGGGAAAGTTGTGTGGGATTTGTGCTCAGCTGATACTTTCGTGCGGCCCGTCGGACCGGCGAGTTTGAAAGATGAGTGCTGTGACAGCTAGACTTAATAGTACTCACCGCGTTTTCTTTGCTTTTCTTTTCGGGGCTCATAATTTTGAATTTAAATTCCCACTATTTTTTCTTTTCATTCTCTTCTGTCGGGACGGCAGGGCCAAAGGCCCTGCCCTATCCGCCCAACGCGAAGCGGCGACCAGGCAAAGGTTGGGTGGGATATAGAAACCCAACTATTCCCAAATTGTGTCAATTTAATTGCACTCGGTCTGTATCCCGGAGACAAATTTAATGTGAGCGAGTGATCACTGGAGCGAGCCTCAATCCTACTTACAGCACCTCAAATATTTAATAATTCCAGAGAGCGGTGTGCTCATTCCTTTGGATTACTTCATGTACAGACATGAACACATGAGGATGATCATGCCATGCAGCGGGCTACACATATTATCTAGTGGTCTATAGGTTGGAATTGAGTTATCTTTGATTGAAAAGTGATCAGTGAGGCTTATCTTATCTTCGGGACTATCCATTTACCCTACGGCAACTTCCGACTGCGGGCGTTTTATTTTTTGTCTCTGCAACCTCTTTTTTACTATGGCTGTGCTTGTCTGGTTTGGCTATCGCCTTGAATTGGAATCATTTAATTAATTATTCATATTCTGGTCAGAACTAGACCATCACTGATTCTCCACGCTCCGTTCGGCACATTTATTCAGTTTGCGCATCAAGCGCTAACATTCTTCGACACTGTTCCAGTGTGGCGTCCAGACAATGTGAACAGTACTTCATAGATTTTTGTGATATCGGCTCCTTGCTCTCGTAGACCAATGTTGTTTCTTGCGTGCTTACTAGAACTACAACCTTAAATGCGGTGGGCTCGTCGACGGTGTGTAGGTTGCAATGTAGGTAGTATAGTACATTTACTACAACTCGGCACGTTCCACTGAAAATATCCAACTACCGCTTCGTGTGGTACAACTCGGGACATTGTCTGCGGAGTTTGAAACATTGGTGTGCGCCGCAGGAACGAGGCATCCATTTCTCTTCTATATTCACCAGACTTCCAGTGTAATGTATCCTGCCCCATAACTAATATATATTCATAAATGGGACTGACGACTCACAACGAAAGTTGGACTTAGAGGGAAGTTTGTGGACTCGTATTGCCATGCGCAGCAGTGGCCTACAGCCCAAGTCCATAGTCACCGTGCAAAGACAGGGCTGTGATGGATGTGACAGGTGACAATGGCAATGGCAGCTCGATAGATATGGATCGGTCGGGTGAAGGGGCGGAGAGAGAGGACAAGGGAGAGTGTCGAACGATGTATTGTATCCACGACTCAGATCAACATCATTCCTTCCATATCGCGTCGGGATTCGATGCTTGATGCTCCATGCATGCTCCCATCCGTCCGCCACAAGTCGTACTCTCTACTTTTTCCCTTCTGTCCGACACCATTTTCACTTTATCAATCTATATTTCTCGTCCCTCGTCCTGGCACCCCGGGGCCCGCACTGCATAATTAACTCTTCTACCTCCGAAGAATCAGATCCTTGCCACAGTGGCACTGCCAACCGCGCAATCCGCCGTGATGGTCATCAGGGGGGGGGCCGGCCTTTTTTTGGTTCTCAAACAGTGCCAAGCACATTTCTGAAGAGGCGCAATATAAGCAGTCAGTATCTCGAATCTGAATCAACCCACCGGCCAAAAAGAAAAAAAAAGATATGACGGATTCCGATATGCCCTGGGGAGGATTCGAACCTCCGTCTCCCACATTAATCATGCTTCACTCGCACGTTGTGTGGGTGATTTCCATTAATCAACCGGGGCTTTATACCCTTGCAGCGAACCTGGATATACCAGCACATTCAAAGCCCGAAAAGAACCTCCAAATGTCCGCCTGTTCAGTACTTAGGGCTCGCAGAAAGCAATAACGAAATTCAACAAGCTTGTAATCTGTCCCTAAGCGCATAATACAGACGTGCAGCAGGTTCTTTGAATCTCAATCATTTTATAAAAAACAAAAAAAAAGATTGGACCATTACAAGTAATGCCCTGGGGAGGACTCGAACCTCCGTCTCCCCCGTCAATGCAACGAGCCAGCAATTGATATGAAGGATGGTGGGTGATTTCCATTAATCAACCAGGGCTTTAAACCCTTCCAACGAACTAGGATATACCTGCACGTTTGTATCCTGTCCCACAGCATGAATTTTCTTCATCAACGGTCTATCGCGTAAATCGGCGCGGATCTGTCTACATCGCCAGATACACATAACAGGCGTAAGCAGTATTGGTATCTCGAACCTAAACTAAACAAAAAAAAAAAATCCTCACACCGGAATTGCGAATGCCCTGGGGAGGATTCGAACCTCCGTCTCCCACATCAATTCTCGAAAACGGGTCATGGATTGGGGCGATTTCTATTAATCAACCAGGGCTTTATACCCTTCCAACGAACCTGCATATACCAGCACATTTTCAAAGCCCGAAAAGAACCTTCAAATGTCCGCCTGTTCAGTAAGATTCGTTGAAAACAATAACAAAATTCAACAAGATTGCACTAATCTGTTCCTAAGCGCATAATACAGACGTGCAGCAGGTTCTTTGAATCTCAACCTTCTTTTTCAAAAAGAAAAAACCCTTCTTGCCACTCAATGCCCCAGGGAGGATTCGAACCTCCGGCTCCCACATCAATCGACGTAGTGAGCACTTTTATAGCCAAGAGGTGTGGGTGATTTCCATTAATCAACCTGGGCTTTATGCCATTCCAAGGAGCCTGGATATACCTGCACATTTTTCGAGAACCGACTTGGCCAGTGAATAAAATTTTCACATGTGGAATCCAATTCAAGACTTCAAAGAGAAATCTATCCTCCTCTGCGAAAACTTGCAACTGGTTTGAGTCTAACCAATTTTTGGTAAAAAGAGGTCGCACGGCTCCATGCCCTGGGGAGGATTCGAACCTCAGTCTCCCATATCAATCCATACATCAACTTGGCGAAAGAGGTGTGGGTGATTTGCCATTAATCAACCAGGGCTTTATACCATTCCAAGGAGCCTGTATACACCGGCACCTGATTTCAATTGCCAGAAGGCTGCCCCTCTGAATAAATTTCTCCTGTGTATTAAAATTTGAGAATCATTTCGGGAGGATGTATTACCGAAGTCCTGCTCATGCTACAACTCCTTTGAATTCAATTCGAAGTTTTAGAAAAAGTAAGACCTCTACCTCTTCCTATGCCCCGGGGAGGATTCGAACCTCCGTCTCCCACATTAATAATGCTCAAGCAGCATTGTTTCCCATGGTCTGTGGGTGATTTCCATTAATCAACCGGGGCTTCATACCCCTCAAATTGGACTGGATATACCTGCACATTTTTTGGGCATTAAAGACAGGTTTTACATTCGCAGACTGGAAGCTGCATCGCATAGTCAAAGGGCTTTCTGGACGGGATGAACTTCAGCAAGCATTTCATCCGCCCAAAAGCATAATGCAGATATATACATACATGCAGTAGAATCAATCAAGCTTTGTAAAAAGAGAGATCGCATCGACGCATGCCCTGAGGCCTGAGGGTGATTCGAACCTCCGTCTCCTACATCAATCCGTCCTAGTTGTCATCTTAAGGGATGTGGGTGATTTGCCATTAATCAACCAGGGCTTTATACCCTTCCAACGAACCTGGATATACCAGCACATTTTCCAACCCGTTCCACAGAATGAATTCCTTCAATCAAGCGTAACAGTGCTTGAAAATAACAGTAAATCGGCGCGGATCTGTTTACATAGCATACCCAGTAATACATCCTCCTCCTCCAGATGAAAGCAGAGCAGTACTGGTATCTCAAACCTACTTCAAACCAAAAAAAAAAGTGGTGATGCTTTATCATGCCCTGGGGAGGATTCGAACCTCCGTCTCCCGCATCAATCCACTGGGACAAACCATCTCAAGGGGTGTGGGTGATTTACCATCAATCACCCAGGGCTTTATACTCTTCCAAGGAACCTGGACAGACCTGCACATTCTTCCCCGGAGCCTGCAGGACATTTGAAAAATTCGGGGAGCGCAAGACTCCTTTGCAGAGTATAAAAATATTTGAACACCGCAAGGATCTGTCCAAATAGATGCAGTTTCTTTGAATCTCCATGTTTTAAAAAAGGGAACTATTTATTATTCTTTCATGCCCTTGGGAGGATTCGAACCTCCGTCTCTCACCTCAATTCGCTCCAGCAGTCGCGTTCAAGGGGTGTGGGTGATTTCCATTAATCAACCAGGGCTTTATACCTTTTCAAATGGACTTGGACATACCAGCACATTTTTTCAAGGTCACCTGCCCGAATATCAAAGTTTTACATCCGCAGACTGCAAGCGAACACATTTGAAAGCAAGAGAGACAATGGATTCACTGGGAATCTATCGGTTCAAGTATATGGGCACATAAATATCCCAAATCTAAACCAAACCGGAAAAAAAAAATCCTACTTATTGTGCCCAAGGCCCCAGGGAGGATTCGAACCTCCGTCTCGCACATTAGTCCATCCTAGCTTCTTCGCTTAATGGGTGTGGGTGATTTTCCATTAATCAACCAGGACTTTATACCCTTTCAATGAACCTGGATATGTCTACACCTTTCCCAGCTGTGAGAAGGCCATTCCACTGATTTTTTTAACATCTCCGTATACATAAATGTTTGACCGCGAGCATCAATTCAAAGAGCATAAACGCAGCAGTCAGTATAATCTCAAATCTACACCAAACCCCCCCCAAAAAAAAATTCGACTGACCTTTGATATGCCCGGGGGAGGATTCGAACCTCCATCTCCCGCATCAATACGCAAACGATACCGCATGGGCAGTAGGCGATTTCCATTAATCAACCAGGGCTTTATGCCATTCCAAAGAACCTGGATATACTTTAAGAGAGCCTGCAACACCCGGTGGGATTAATCCTGAATTTTGCTACAAGCGCCTGCCCGATCAGTAAAAAAGGACGGTCCAAGTGCATAATACAGACAGAGATGTGCAGCAGGATCATACAAATGAGACTTTGTAAAAAGAAAACCCATATTTTAAGAACGGCACGCTCCGTGGAAGACAGCGTTCATAAGTGCGACTCTACACCATCAACCAACTGGAAGCGTCTACGTCACAAGTTATTCAGTACCATCTCTTCACTTCTTACGATTTCGGCAGCTCGTCAAATCTGGTCCGATTCTTCAATCCAGAATCGTGAGGCTAGCAAGAATAAACATCAGGGTCGAACACGGTGAGGGCGGGGAGGAACATTTACCTGGTTTGATTTCCCCCCGTCTGCGTTTATCAATAAAGAGCTCGGCACGAGCCCAAAAATCTTTCCCGCCCTGCGCGCCTAGTGTCCAGTCCTGGACGAAATGATTTATGCTGGCTTCGGCGAACATCATCACGAAGCGTGGATCAGGATCGATTGGCTGGTGCGGTTGCGCCGCGTTCCAGGGACTCCAGAACCACATCTTGCTGACCAAAACATGAAGCCTGGGGAAGCTCCGGAGAAGGTCGAGAAAAAACGGCGGAGGTCGGGCACCGTGCATGCCCAGGTGTGTAAGGGCGGGCAATTGAGCAATCTGGAAATCGAGGGTTGTCCTTCAGCCCCTGCGGACATGTCGAGATGGGTGAGCGTCCGGAACAGAGGGCGACTAGGATCGATGGCGCCAAGAGTGGAACTGTTGATGAACGAGAAGTGCTGCAATGCCAGCGGCATAGCTTCGAGGGCAGTGAGTATCAATGGATCTTCACTGCGTAATCCGAGCCATTCGACATGGACACAAAGTGGAAGAACGGGTAAGAGATCGCTGGAAGAATCCCATAGAAATAGGTGCTGGACATGTTTCAATTTGGCGGGCTGTAGATGAAGAAGATCGGCGGGATCCAGCCGCTCGGCAGCGATTCCACTTAGAACAAGAGTGGTTGGGCCCACAACAAGGGTACGGTACAAAAGAGGCTCGATCCTGGATGCAGAATATAAATTATAAAGTTCCTTGCTAATAAAATAATCCCATACCACTGAAGGACGCGCTGAGCAACTAGCAGGAGAGTGGGCATCGTTTCGGGGTGATGGGTCGCCGCAATCTCGAATATTTCCCGCTCGAGCTCCAGCGGAATCGTTGGGCACGGGTGGGACATGGTCAAAGGTTGGGAGGCAGGTTGTATGTCTGTTCAAAGGGAAATTCAGCCCTGAAATAGCTTGAGTGCGAGTTGGCTGTGAGTAGAGACGACAAGATTGGTTACAGTGTGTCAGCAGCTGATGGCATCATCTCTTTTCTTCCCATTACCACCACCATTGCTTTACCTTATTGAGCCTGCAGCGACACGTGGGATCCCATTAGTTCTCGTACCATGGACTCCGGTACATCTCTCCCACTCCCCCTGGATCTTGAGCGAGAAATCTTCGAAATGGCTGCAAACCGTTATCCGGAAACGATCCCCGCGCTCCTTCTCGTTGCGCAGCGCGTCCTTCAATGGTAGTGCATTATCTCGACACCGACAAACGACCTCTTCTAATCTCTTACTCAGGATTGAGCCTCTATTGTACCGCACCCTTGTTTTCATAGCTCAGGAATCCCGGCGGGACCCCGAGGCTTTCTGTCCAGAATCCGCCAAATTGGCAAAATATGTGCAGAACATGCTCATATGGGCCGCTCCTCGTCGTGTCGATTTCGCGCTGCGCGCTCTTGCTTCTTGCAGTGGCATCCGGAAGCTCATGTTATTCGAGCCCCGTCTCACAATGCTCCCTGCACTCGAGAAGATGAAACTACGGCATTTGACCGTCGACCTTCAAGGACTTTTTGG